TCTCAGTAACACCCTCCTGGCACTTGCAACATGCAGAGGCAGATGTAGAAGAAAGCAGTCTGAAAAAAAGAGCCGTAGCCTTTCACTGTCCCTGCTTTCAAGGCTTGTTTTGTCCCTGATGTTCACCTACTCCCCACCTGAGTAGAGACACAGCTCAGTGACACTGAATTCCCTTTCTCAACACCCGTATTCCTGATCCTCACCAGCACATCTTGCCTTACTCGCGAGCAGAACTGTAACAAGGGCACGGTGGGGGAACCCCTGCTTTGCTGGCATCAGGAGAACAAGCTGCAGGCAGGATGGCCAGCAGCACTTGGAAGAAGCACAGAGAGAAGGGCAACTCAGTCATCGAGATACCTCACAACAGCTCTGCTCCAGGCCTCCCTTTAACAGAGGCCATAAGAGTTAACAGGAGGATCTGTTGGGTTTGCTCTGAAGTGAACATGTGAAAGGGATCTGCTTCCTCAGTCTTCCCTACCCTCTGTCTTAGAAACATTCAAGACCCTCGTAAGAGAATCTGCTGAATCATTCTGGGTGCACTTTGTGTTGGCACACACACGCACAGACTCATCCAGTTCCTCACAAACCAGCAGCACCATGGCTGGGAAGATCCCAGTTAGAGTGCAGGCACAGAAAGGCACTTGCATGCCTAAAGTAGATGAAGCCAGGATTGCTTCCAAGAGAAATCCAGTAACCTGCAAAAACTTTCAAAAGTATTTGATGAAACCAGAAATTTATCATTAAAATTCCCCCAATATCTTTCCTTTTGGGGGGAGGGGAATAAAAAAATTTCAGTTTGATTTCCTCTGCCCAGTACCAAATCAATCACCCAGTTAACTTGGCCCTGGGTGTCATCTGAGGCTACCCTGATTTGAGGTTCTCTTCATGAGGACCTAAACATTGACATAAGGAGCATTGATCTCCTGAGCATCCCACATCCTCCTGGGGAAGCCAGGCAGTCTTGGACAGGACACCGTCTGGGAGACTGGCTTCTGCTGGAAACTCTGTGTTCTGGCAAGAGTTAATTGAAGTACATGCGTCTGGGTAATTTTATTTTTTTTCGTTCAGATGAATCAGCAAATTCAAGTCCTAAAGCTGTGTAAGTTAAAAAAAACTTCTGGCAGTCTACAGACCAGATTTCCCAAATGTTTTAAATTGAGCTCTCATCTACACCAATCTCTAAAAAGATGTCCACTTCTAAAGTCTTAAGCATCCTCTTATCGTTATTTCTCTGTCTCAGCACTCAAATGTACAGTTAATGCTTGTGCTAGAGCAAGTTTCCTTCTGATATTCTTTGGTAGAAAGTGATATAACCGATAGGTACTGACATTTAAAGTAACATCCGTGGCACCCACTGTGGTGGATTATCCCTACCACACAGCTGGAGTTGAAGGCTGTCAGCAAACTCAAGCATTTCACTAGTGATTTCCACTTACAACTATAATAGCTTGAACCTTTGTTTGCTTTTTAATGATAAATAGTCACTGTGGAGCACTACCAAGTCATCTAACTGGTATTATTCTTGGCTAGATATTTGTATTGCAGCAATGCCTCACTAGGTACAATTTACAGCATTATAGTAAAACTCCAGCATACTAGGTGTTGCACAAACCTAGTAAACTATCCTGTATCCTAGGAAGTTCTGCTCTAGTTCAATAGACAGAGATGTGCAGAAGAATGACATTAAGGGGCAAGCCAGTGGCAAGAAATGGATAGTATAGTAGAATACTGACAGGGCTATCATGGGAATAAAATGCAAGGATGCTATTAATGTCACATCAAGGTTGCACAATCAAAAGATGAAAAATGCAAACATTAAGATTCCTACGACAACTTTCAAAAAATGGCAATGCAGTCATCTCATTTACTGTAAGGCCTATAGCTGAAAACACATTTACAGGAGTATTTTAAACCAGGTGTTGAAAATACCAAGGAATGAGAACATGATGCATGTGCAGCAGGGCTGAATTACCACTGCTGTTGGATCTGTACATTTCTGGTTTTAATAAGCATTCTCAGAATATCTGGGGGATTTTAGAGAAGAAGCAGTGAAAATGAAACACGGAGAGAAAAATGCAAAATCTTTAGCAAAACATCGGGTTGCCCTAACTAATAATAATCTTCTGCTAGCAGCTGTTGATACAGACTAAGAAACGTGTGCTTCCCAGTCCCCTTACGGCCTGAAAGTGTGAATGCTCAGACGCTGACATTTCCCATGCTCTGTCTATGGGGATCAGCACCTTTGTTAACTTCCTGAGTTTCCCCCATCAAACTTACTCAAAAGCCCAGGAAAGTCAGTGAGGACCTTCCTGGTGCCTGGTTTAGATTTTGAATCTGGAATGAACATGCCATGTTTCAGATTGGAAAACCAATACGTGAGCAAAGCTAGGCTGTTTTAAAAAACATTTTCCCACAACACTCAAAGCAGCAAAGGATCTCCCCCACCGAATGACAGAAAATAAAACTCACCTTTGTCTGGAGAAGTACAGACCTTGCAAGCCTGGGAAACTGTACCTTCAAGGGTAATGCGTCAGACTATTATGAATGAGAAAAACAAGGCTATAGGATCAGGGTTCACTACCAAACTGGCTGGCCTAAAAGCACGCAGGTCCTGGTTGCACGGTCGCTGCTTACTGCCAGTCATATCAAGGATGAATATAAACAGCCAAATTCATCGTAGTTACAGAAATAGGGGGTGGGGGGAAGTAGCAGCAGGCAGTAATAAGTCCTTTTTTTATATGAATAAAGTTTTATTGAATTTTAGACAATTAGAAAGAACAAAGAAAGAGGAGCAAACAGTCTCATGGAGTGTAGGAACCAGAAGAACTCTCCCAGTAGAGGAGGGGGGCTGCTGAGGGCAGTGTTCCCCTAAATGTCACACAGGGGTTATACAAAAGCAGAGAGAAAGTGTCTGGGCTTTTCTTTGATTGTAGGTTCGGGTTTTTGTTTGGTTTTTTTTTTCCTCCCACATTAGTGTTTCTAAAGCTACTCTTCTTCCCCCGTCAGTCCTACCACCCAGCAGCAAAGCAAGCAGACAGGCAGGAAAGAGGACTGCTCCGGTGAAATGTGCGTACACACACAGAGCAACTGCTGCCTGCACTGCTGGGGGGGTTTGCACCCATTCTGGATGGAGTTGTGTAGAAGGGGAACGGAGGGAGATTGGAATTTTTTTTTCTCCTTTTTCTTTTCTGTTTTAAGCAAAGAAGGCACAAAATCTCAGCCAACCTTCAAACCTAGTGCTGCCTAGGAGCCCCCAACCTCCCCAAAAGCCAGTGTGTCCATGTAGGAACCCAGCCCTCACCTCTCCCCCCCTCTTCCTCAGAGTCTGTGCTTGCATTTGAAAAGTACCGCTCAGGCAGAAGGCCCTGCACAAGGTTTGTGCACTGCTAGGGAAAGTGAAGCCGTGCAGGGACAAGGAAAGCAGGGATGAGGAAGAGTCTGTTGGCTTAAACAGACCCTTTTTCCAATGTGAGACCTATGGAAAGTCACCTGCGACTCCCCACATTGCTTTTCCAAGAGCAGACCTGTGAGGGCTCTGGTGCTTTTTTGGAGGTGACCGCTGCCTTTGCGTGTGCAAGGGTTGGTGTTATGCAGGAGGGCCAAGACACCCATCCAGGCATAGCCCCTTTGAGCCAGTGCCCTCTAGGAGGGTAAGACACAACCCCTCAGTCCAGCCCTCCAAATGGCACCAGGTTCCTTCAGTGGTTTCAACTCTTGGCTTTGATTAAGGCTATTTAGTTGCAATAGAAAAAGGATAGGTGCCAGCCACAACCACCTCCCTGGCTGCGAGGAGATGGCAGAGCCACCGGCAGATGCCACCAGTACCCAGCCCTGGGACATTGAGGGAAGTAGGGGAGGCAGGGAGATAACACGTGGGCTTCCACAGGGTTACCCCCTCCATTAAGCCCCTACTTTCACTCTTTCTAAGGAAAGGGATTTGGAAACAAATCCTGCCAACCTCAGTGTCTGGGAAGTCTGCGTGCGTGGGAGAGTAGGAATGAAAACTGATGCCTCTATGTAAGGTCCCCAAGCCCAACACATGCCCTGCCACGCCGGCCAGCCCTGGATAGCCTGTTAAGGAAAACCCACCATGCAAACACCAAAGCTGTAGGGTTTGAAGCCACTTGCCCCGAAGCAGAGCAGCCCAGGGGCAGCAGGCTCCTCTGGACCTGCCTGCTGCTCTGCCACACCACCGTGTTTCCTCTCTGCCTCCTGAATAAACCCAGCAACACCCCAAAAAGCCCTACACCCTCACCCTGCACACAGCATCTCGGGCAATGGACAGCTGCGTCCTCCACAGCCGCGAACAGGGCTCTGCCGGCACCCCGAACTAGTGCGGGGAAAAACACCCATCCTGAGTAAGACCTGTGTGTGTGTCTGCGTGCGTGTTGGGGTGGGGGAAAGAACTGCAAAAAATAACGACAAACTCTCCTTAGTCCATGCCCTCGCCCCAGCCATCCCCTCGGCCGGGCTGGTGGCTGTGCCTTCATCTCGCCCCTCCAGCCCGGCCCTGGCGCACTGCCCTCCTTCGTCTTTGAGGGGGCTGGGGCCGCCGTGTTGAGGCATCCCCTGCCTCAACACCCCTCCCGGCTCAGCCCTCCCTGCCCCGACGCAGGCTGTGATCCTCTTGGAAATAAAACAGCAACAACAAGGGGGAAAAAAAAAAATAATATATATATATATATCTCCCCAAACCTCCCTGAAAGACCCAAATGGACGGAATCGACCCCCAACAAAACTGACAAGAAACAAAAGCAAAATTCCCCCCCCGCCCCAAGGTCAGGGCTGGGCGCACGTCCCAGCCGGGGCCCAGCAGCCGGGGAGCACGTCCCGACCCCCCTGCTCCCCCAAGCCTTGGCACATCTGCGGCATCCACCGGCGCGAGGAGCCCCAACAGCCAGGGTGGGGAGGGGATACGACATGGCCGATGCTGTCCCACCGGCCATCAGCGGCCTCGGAAGGGGAGGACGGGGGGGAGAGGCGAGTGTGTGTGTCCCCCGCCGCCTCGCCGCCTTTCAGGAAGGAGTAGGGTCTCTTCGCCCCACCGGGTACGAGAGGCCCCTTTCTCGGCTCGTGGCCTCTGTCACGGCCCTACACGAGGGAACCGGCCCGACTCTGGGCCGGCACCATGACGGGGACAGCCCCAATCCTCTCCAGCGTGGCCTGGCTGACGGCGTAGGAGCGGGTGTGAGGCAGCCGCGGCTTCCTACTGACCGAGCCGTTGCTCCGGATCACCTCCTGAGGGGACGGCGCCGTGCTGGCCGTCACCACCAGCGTCTTAGGGGGAGCCGGGGACGGGTGGCCGCCGTTGGCGTAGACGGGGCGGGTGCTCGTGCTCCCCGAGCGGGAGAAAGGGGGCTGGTGGGCATCGTTGCTGTTGCTGAAGCGGGTGAAGGAGTCTGTGGCGTGGTTGGCTTTGGGGTCGTTCCAGTAGCGGCTGTTGTAGGTGTTGGAGGAGGTCAGCGTGTCGTTCTCCGATGAGGACGCGTCGGCGTGGAATGTCTTTGCGGCAGAGGAGCATTTGGGTGGCAGGTCATCCTCCCTGGGAAGGAGAGGGTGTGAGGGCACACGGAGGATGCTGCCCCACTTGCCCAATGCTCCCCACCCCTGGCACACCCTGCTGGGGTCAATGCCATCAATTCAAGGTGAAGGACGGCACCAAAGTGAACCAGCATTGCTCCTTGGCCTGTTTGCTCATCCCTCTTTGCAGGACCCACCTCTATGCACATTAATTGCCTACTGCTGAGGCAAATGACCCATGCTCACGTGTCTAGGGGGCCAAAACCAGTGGTTGTCACAGCCACTAGTACTTTGCAGGCAGTCGGTATGGCTGTACAACCAATGAAGCTGACCCTCAGGGGAACTGCAGGAAGCTACCAGAGGGAAACACTGTGGCTGTAACACCAGAGAAGATCACAGTTGTATCTCCAGAACTTTGCAGCTATCACTGTCTGGTATTGTGGGTCGGGATCCCCACCACATCACTCTCCTACGGAGCTGACAACATCTAGTCAAAGCTCTCAATAAAGGCAATACTGAAAACAAAATCTGTCGTTACTGTTCTTCATTTGCTCCCTCCATTTTCTGGACACATATGGATGAATATCTTCTCCTGGTCCAGGGGAACAGACCCAGGATGCTTTTGCTGGGCGATCAGAGGTCCCCTGCCACCAGCTTTCCCTGAACCCTTACCTTATCTCATTGGGAATCTCCTCCTCTTCTTCTTCTTTGTGTTTATTTTTCCAGTAAAACAGTGCCACGGCCACCAACACAATGCAGACGACGAGCACGACGGCGCCTGTGGCCACCGCTCCAGCGATCAGGCCGATACTCCGGGGGTGAGCTGTGGGGACGATTAAACAGAGAATAGAGAAGTAATCAGGGCTGGGCTGTGGCCAACCATGAGCATTTGAAGCTACCGTGGCTTGGGAGGAGGGAAAGGCAATGTCCCCATTCCAGGGCACAACGATCTTCTGATAGCGAGGCACATGGTGGCTCACAGCAACCATGGTTACACACTTTACTGTCACAAGACAGAAGCAGGCGGCCAAACCTCCCTTGGCAAAATACTTACGTGCAATGACTTGCAGGTCCAGAAGGCAAGTGCTGGTTCCAATGGCATTTGAAGCCACACATTGGTAAAGACCTGAGGACACAGTGCTGATATTTCGGAGGGTGACAGTGCCCTGGACTTGGTCTAGTCAGAGAGAAAAGAAGGATTTAAATCCCTCCCCCCCTTGAGGAAAACCGTGAAAAGGCAAAGTCAGCAAATACAGAATTTTGGTGTGAGACTCTTAAGAGAGAAATAAATTAGGAAATAACCTTGAGATGGAAGCATTGTGCGCGCGCACACGCACACACGCAGAGACAAGATTAGGTCTTAAGGAGCTTACACTAGATGTTTCTTTTTCTTCTAATAGATGAATTTCCATAAATGAAGGCTTGGGACTCTCAGCATTGTGTGAGAGAAGGGAGGAAAGAAAAGATGTGCAAATACCTATATCAAGATCTACCCGCTAAATTCAATCCTGCCCTGCAGAACCCCTGCTCTCCCATCCCTGGGCTCCCCACCACCCGCTCTGCCAATTGTCCTCATTCCTGAATCATGTAAAACTAGAATGCTTGTGTATTCTTAAAACACAGCAAGATAAAGGGCAAAAGTACAGCTATCACTACTTGGTCAGGACATCTAGACTAAGAAATCTTATGCATGGGACCTGGGGCTGGGCAATACCCAATCTGATCAGAGCCTTGCTTTTACACACATCTGAAAGGCAACTCTGGCAGTAACTTACTGGAGAACAGTGACCTCAGTGTGAGAAGCTGGCATTATTTTCCTGGGATGATTCTGCCTCCTTTCTCCCAGTTTCCAATCTATGAGCCTTTAATTTGGTTTAAAAGGCAGGTGAGTCAGCAGCTGAAATCCCCAGCCACATGCCAACATCTGGCAACCGTGTTCTCTCTCTCCCACTCAACCAGACCCTTGTTCCTCAATGAGGAACATGTTTCTGTACCAAAAAACCATGAAAATTTAAGTGGCCACTGGAGGGTACCTAGTCCACCATGGGCTCTAGGAATCTTCGTTCCAATAAAGTGACCATGCAAGTGATGGCAGACACTGAGTGAGCCATGCCACCTCTGGTGGCTCAGACAAAGGAAAGCACAGGCTGCCACCTGGGAAATAAGAGGATAATCAACAGAACGAGCACCTTGTGTGGCAGTTGGGGGCAACTTGGGAACATTGTCCAGTTTCTCCCAGAGGTATGTTGGCCGGGGGATGCCTTCTTCTGAGCTGCAGGTCAGTGTGATATCGCTGCCCACGTCCAGGGACCCCTGGATTCTGCAAAGCGGGGCAGAAGGAGGAACTGCGAGAGAAGAGGGGAAGGTGACAGCAGATCAGGAAATATGACCAAACAGTGGAGCTGTTTCTGCAGGCTCTTTCTGGACACGTGCTGCTGGGGAAAGTAAGGACGCTGGCATAAGCTGACAAGGGGACAAGAGGGATGCAGCAGACAAGAACCCATTAAGGTTTGGGGGGTGACAATTCACAAAGATTCCTGACCCACCAGCCCATCAGGGTTACAGAGTACTGCTGACTTTCACAGGACCCAGTTCTTTTAGATCCCTCCATAGAGAAAAAGAAGGTGAACATTTCTGTCTTTGAGGCAGCAAGGGTGGTGAGAGCTAACAGAGCTGCAGACAGAATTTGCTGTGGTTGGGTTTTGCTTTCATATCCCCCTAATGGCGCACACTCTGGAGTATTTAACATCCTAGGGAGCATCCAGTACTAATTGCTTTCATGAAAAGGAAACAAAGATCTAAAGTCATTCTCTTCTTCTGTTGCTATGCACAAAACTCTTATGGTCCCTTCAGCTCTCCAGGCTGCCCTTGTACTTTAGTTATGCTTCTTTGCAACTCCGCATCACAATGCTGCCACAAAAGCTTTCTCTCCACCGTATTTTAAAACTCCATTATATGTTACCTGGACATGAAGGCTACGTGCCCTACAAGCTCCCACAATATCCACAAGGCAGCCCATCCCTCACCACACAATGTCCATGGGCTCTAATGCATATGCTATCATATTGCTGTGCTATCATACTATCATACACAGAGGATCCCCTTGTCCCTGTTCCTCCCCTCTCCCCCACAATACCAATAAACACACCCAAGACAGTAAGTCCAATGACTCCAATATTCCTGACGCCTCGGTCGGGAAGATTGTTGACCAAACACTGGTACGTGCCAGTATCCGATAGCTGAGTGTTGTTGATGAAGATGGAGGCACTGGTGGTTGGCATTGTCACAGCAAATCCTACTCGCCCATAGAACTGGGGTGCACCACCAAAGATCTGACCCCCTTGGTAGAGAATAACCTGGAAAAGAAAGGAAGGATCAAACAACGCTCTGCAGGAGCTGAGCAAGGAGGAAGAACAGCAAGCAAAACATGAGCTTCCAGAGCCAAAAGGACCAGTTCCTAAAAGACCTCTAAATAACCAGACCTCAATATGCGGTTGTCCCAGGCAGACCCATCCTAGCAGAGGTGTTTTCTTTAAAAGAGGAACACACTCTGTAGCCTGTTTTATGTCAATAAAAACGTTCATGAAGGTAACAGAGCAGATAGATACTCAAGTCTTCTGTTCTCACAACTGAATACCAAAAGTGATGGGGGCAGTGTGACCCAAGACCAATGCATTTCAAAGCAAGGACATTCTTCTGCTCTCAGAGTATGTGGGCAAAAACGAGGCCAGCAGATCTCAGGTTGTAATTCTTGTACCCACCATGATAGACTCTCATTTGCTAATGTTCACAAGAATGGACTTGCATAAGCAACAGACAGTGAAAAAGTAAGAAGGGAAGTAAAAGGGGACACGAGTCTATGAGAGGCCATATGTTCTGGCACATTTTACATAGATTTCACAGGTTTAAGCCTGCAGCTGCTCCCAGGTCCTCCAAATCTCATATCCAGTGCACCAAAACCTGCATTACATCTCCTGCGCCCTTTTGAACACACAAACCACCAGAGGTCCAGGGCAGCAATACAGTACCATGTATACCTGCCCCCATTGCACATCCAGCCAAAGACACAACGTGCATCAGTTAACAAAGCACTGAAGATCCAGAGGGCATGTTCAGCAATGAAGGGACGTTGAAGTTCTGGGACAACCAGCGACTCAGCATTGTAAAGGGTCTACATCCAGATTAGCGAGAAAAGGGTGAGGAAAAGGAAAGACCCAAAGAAATACATGCTCCAGTAGGAAAGGACCTACCTGTTGAGGCTGGTTGGCATTAGAAAGAGGAATGACCATCCAGATGACATTAAGGTTAGTGAGAGCAGCGTTAGTGGTGAAGGTGCAGGGCAATACTGCTGTCTGGCCTCGGGCAACCTGGATACTCCCTGAACTGACTGACACCTCCAGAGGACACACCAGACCTGGAAAGAGAAGGACACCCAGTTCAAGCACTGCAGGTGGCCCCATACACCTGCAGGTCATGACAGCAGCATCCTGTTGTTACACAATTGTACCTTACCAATTACTTCGGGCTAAAAAGAATTATATTCCTCCCTCAACAGATCAGGCTGCCCTCACGCAGACCTTTTTCACAGGCAAATGCAGATAGGTGGCCCTTTTAAGTGAGACTACTCTAGTTTCTGAGCCTTTCAAAACAACAGGTTTTGTCTGGTGATGGGGAAAAGAGCCGTAAGAGCAGCCAAGCTGTGTCTAAGAGATAATAAAATATGTTTTAAGCTCATCAATCTTAACGATACCAAACATTGTTGAAACAGAAGAGGAAACTGCATTTTAAAAGTCTTCACCTTCAAGGGGTAAAAAGAGAGAAACACAGTTCTCCCCACACTTCTACACCTCATAGTCCAGCATGAGCGGAAACCTTTCAGTGCTATTTTTAATTTACAGGATTAAAAATCTAAAACTTTTCCAGTCCAGGTACTTCTATCTAGCTGGTGAACAATGCCTACTGATAATGGAGGGTCTCAACAAATCTCATTTATTTTCCAGCATTTCCACCATCCACTTTGCATCCCACACAGGCTGGACAGGGCTCAAAGCCTGACAAGCCCCAGCTTCCCAGCGCAGCACCTCAAGGTTGCAGTTTTTAGACTGCAAGTCACACAGGGAAATCTCTCCATTCCTACTGCCAAAATCTTGTCAAATGAAACTAACCAAGGAGTCACCACCACCATTTTGAGTAGCACTAAAATTCTTTAAACCATTTTCCCCACAAAATCAAAATATTGACTACAAAAAACATCTCTCTATATGACAGCTCACTATCTTCTTGTTCAAAGCATGTGGGAGGCTGCTGAAGAAGGTACAGAATTTTGAAGCTCCAAGGCAATATCAGAATATTCCTAGCACCCAGGTGTAGTCTGTGGTCCACCCCCTTCTCTTGCTGACTCCAGGAAGGGCTGCCAGCACGGTTTCTATTTTCTGCCAAGAGACACCGGTTTGCTGAAGGTAAGATGATTCATAAGAACAGGTTTTTATTTGAACTACAAAGAAATAGAACTGGCTAATTTCTGAGAAAAAGGTGAGTGGTCTCTCGCATGCTTGTCTGCTGGGATCCTTCCCAGCCTACCTGATGGAGAGATGGGGTGCTCAGAGCCTGGGAGTGCTGAGTTTCAGATGCTACAGATCCAAAGTTTCTAGCACCTCAACAGCCTATGATGAGTTCCTGGGTTTGGACTGACTACTCTGGAGCTGCAATACCCCAGGACCTTGCAAATCCTCAGCAACCTCCTCTGGACTTCCATTCCCTCCTCCATATCTTCCACCTCCAAAGCCCCAGGTATTTCAGAGAGGCTCAGAAGTGCTGCAGAACAGAGCCAGACAAAATGTCATTTTAATCTCTCCAAGTGAAATTCATGAGTTTCTTACTTAACAGAAAAAAAACCCCAAGTCTGACTTTCCTCACAAGCCTGGAACATACTTAAAAATATGGAACATTTTGGAAATTCCTAGGGAAACATTTCATCTCTGGTGCTAACATCTCAGAGAATTAGGTGCCTGGATGAGGAACAGCTGATGAAAGCTTAATCCATCAATCTCCTATGCAGGGCTGTCAGTAGCAAGTGGAAGTAAATAATTTGAAGAGCCAGTAATAAGCATCACCTTTATTACAAGGCATCTGCCTTCCAGTTGTATCTGTGGTCAACAGACTGGGAATGGTTTTGGAATCCTCATTTGCCTATGGCTGGCCAGGCAGTGGCTGTACCCCAAAACCCAGAAGTAATCCATGTCAACTTTGGAGATGTCTCTTACTGAATATGACCCTGACAAGGGATTGTCTTTTCTGTAGGTCTAACTTTGAAGGCTACCTTGCCATGACTACTCATCCAGTCTAGCATCATCCATGTGCTAAACAGTGTGCAGGGAGTCACAAAAATTTGGACATTTATTGGATTAACCTTTCTCTTCAACATGGTGCAGAAAGATCTTCTGCCATGTTCAGCTTAGATTTAATGAGACATTCTCCATCAGAGGAAAACCAACTACTCATCTGATTTGGAACAGCAACACATGTTCTTCAGCCCCATTCCTTGTGCCCTCCAAGAAAAAGCCACACATTCAAACTCTTGTCATTCAGAAAACATAATACTTAAGTGTATTCACTAACAACAACTTTACTGGAAAAGTTGGAGTTTACAGTTTGCATTGCAGGGTTAGTAACATCAATCACTCAATCATCAAGATGATGTGATTTTCATACCTAACCACCCTCTTACTATTCCTAATATTTACTATTAGTTGATTGTAAACATCCTGCAGAATAATAAAAACACTAAAATAGAACATGCATAATTTCTTCACTGTAAAAATAATTTTCAATACATTTGAGAATTTCCCAATCTACTTATGAACAATTTAAAAAAGGAAAGAAAACACATAATATTCCCTTTGCTATGCCAGTACCCCAGTCTCACCCTGCAGCACCCCACAGGCCCCATAATCTCCTCCCCCTTTCAAGGCACCACAGCATCCCTTTTAATTTGAAACCCATGGAGTGGGATTTTTTTTTTTTTTTTGGAGGGGCAGGGGGGACTACAGAAGAGCTGACGTTCCCATCCATTTCTTTTGCCAAGGGGAGCTGCTTTGAACCTGGCACATAAGATGAGCACCCCCCGACTCACCATGCTGTCCTGTCTCTCTTGTTAAACCCATGGGCAAGCCAGCTCCTCAGACTTGCCGTTGCCTCATGCATCCCAAGGTCTGTCGGCTGCTCTTTGGCCCGGGATGCGTACAAGGCAGGTGGCACTTAAAGACAAGGACTCATTTTGTTAAGCTAAGTGGCACCTGCAGGGCTACAGCTGAGGAAAACACACACAACTGCTTCTGACAAGTAAGCTGGAACAAGGCGACAGGAGGGTCAGGAGACCAAACGTAGGCAAAGTCCTCTTCCACCACCGTAAACAGGGAGGTAGGCTGGTGTGTTAACACGGCATTACTACAACGTGACTCCTCTCCCAGGGAGACAGCTGAAAGAGCAAAGATCAAATCCTCTTCAGAAGCTACAGCATCTTTCTTTGTATCTCAGACTAGTAGACAATTAACACACTTAGACGTGCACTTGCCCATCTATGCAAGTATCTACGTGACCGCATCCTTCCACACCGATACTCATGGCCCAAAACACAGGTGGATGCACACAAAGACACATACACTTATATACACTTATATGCCCAGGAAGACACCTAGTAGGAAAACTCAACCAAACGATACGTATTTAAACTTTTCAAAATTAGGAGTTGCAAAAATGTGGCTTTGCATTAACGCAAAAGGAGGAAGGCAGGGGAGAGAGGGAGGAAGAGATGCCAAATTTAGCATATCTATTGGGATAAGGATTTTTCAATGCTGCCTAAGGAATGAGGACTTGAATTCCCTTGGGTAGATATAAATGCAAATATAGATATATGCACACACATACGGCAGAGTCTACTAAGTCGAATTACACATAAGAGGTCAGAAAAAACAAGCAAAGGATGTTGCAAAGGGTGTCCTTTTGCAAAAGTACACAATCCGGATCTTTTCTAAGCACTCGGAGAAGTTTAATGACTTGTGAGAGACAATAAGAATCGATCACCACCAAATCATCTCTTAGAATTGGATTACAATGGCCATTACACCCTCTCTTGTATATGTAGTCTCCTCCTTAGTAATTAAGCATCCCCGTAAGCAGCGTGCCTGGAGGAAGAGCAGGGTACACCACTGTCAGCAGAAAGAGGAACGGGCCCTTCCTGTACGTAGGACACTTTGATCTTAGCTTGATTCAGCAAACGGCTTTCTCCTTTGATCCTGATGCAGCAAGCTCCCATCACTAATTAGAACGGATGCTCCATTTTTTTGCCCCCTATCAGGGAACCAGCCAGCAGAGCAATGTTTTGGCTACAAAGGCTCTTTTAGAGTTTCTTCATATTTCCAGGACCAAGTAATTATCCTGGCAACAAATCACTCTGATTTCATTTTTGATGGCTCGCCGCTGCTTTTCCAAGTAGCACACTCAGCTCCCAACCCTGCATCCATGAAGGGGTCCACGTGGCTAGTTCATACAGCGTGACACAAGTGCGTGGATCCCAGTCCCGCAACCAGCGTTTGCCTCTCCACTGGGTATCAGGAGGAGGCAGATGCTGCCACATGTTTGCTACCTGCCCTACGAGGGTTGCAAGCCTGAGAGGCTTCAGAATATACCAGATGCAGCAAAGCTGAAAGACATGGGCACATCTTAGCGCTTTGATTCATACTGAGTTGACTGAAAATGTTCCCAGATCCCGCTCGCTGCCACACCTCTCTGCCAGAGATCACCAGCGAGACCAACAAATTACCTTGGCTGACAGCCCCCTGAGTGCAATGAGGACTTCCACCACCATCACTTCGCATCAAGAGACCAGCTTATAACACGAACAGCCGACACACAATCACCAGTCCGTATCACCATGATGACAGATGGTCACAGACCACAGGGACCTCAGAGGCCGTGCCTTCAGGAATCACCGTGGTCACGCTGTTGAAGATGCGCTAACGGCACATCCTTCTCCACTGTTGGATCCTCCCCGGCACCTGGTTTTTAGAGGCAACCATGCTCAGCGAGATATTTGGGTATCACTTAGCTGGGTTGCAGTATAGTGCACTGAGAGGGTCTTCCCCCACTGTATTTAGCTTAGGAGTATCGATCTCCCAGAACCACAGAAAAATAGACGTTTCTTTGGAGAGTCATTCATACCGTGAAAGTCCAGCTCCTGCCCTCCCTCACCTTCTGGAGGACACTCTCTACTTTGCACGTACCCCCCAAAACCGTCAGCAAGTCAGCAGCATTTGGCACTTGCTAGCAGCAACCTCCTGATACGCAAACGGCGTGGGAGGCTGGGCTAGCATGACTTTGCATACGCAGAGGCCAGAGTACAGGTTCACTCTGCAGTG